TCTTCTTCCTATATTGCTTTTAACTGGAAATCAGCAACTGTTCAGAGCAAAACACACTATTTTCCGCTTACCAAATTATTCAATATTTGCACAAACCACCCTTGGTTCTGCTCGTTTACTGACCTTCTATTTTGCTCTTGTCGATCTGATTATCTATCGTAAGCGAACAGTATCCACAAAATTTGCTACGAAAGCTGTTGATTAGCGTAGAACCAAGAACACTGTACTGCCATACCTGTTTGTTCATCATCAACTGTCTTTTTAACTAAAATCTGCCTCCACCCTCCTTCTCCTCTCCAATATGTAACTGCTCCACAAATTTTTCTCTCAACTCTTCAGCTAGCCTCTCACTAGTCAAGTGATTAATGTGTAGACGATAACGCTTTTACGGTTAAATACAATCGTCTGTTTATTTATTTCACAACCATATCCCAATTGTCACCAGGCTTATTTCACTGGTTTAATTCCGGTTAGTTGTAATAACCTAAAAATTGTTTACAATAAACTTATCGATAAATTCAATATTAAATGTTAATTTTCAACTGCCCCACAACTTTCTGTCTGACGTAAAAAAGAGAATAAAAATAAAAATAAAAGAAAAAGTTAAAGAAATGAGTCTTTTGATTCCAGAACAACTCAAGGGTTGTTTAATTGACTTTTACTTCGATGTTTACATAGTTCTACTAATTTCTGAGATATTGGATTCAGAAAAAAAAAAAAATCTTGATGGATGAAAAGCAGCAAAACAAATAGATTGATGGCAGTTAAGTGGTGCAAAAACAAAAAAAATTGAAATGAATAAATAAAAAAAAAAAAAGAACTAGATTTTCTTAAATTGAATATCTGTAGCCCAAAATAATGACCGAAACCCGTCTGGGACATTCTACTCTGCTGTAAAACTTCAGAATCACAATTAGCAACTGATGATCCCTTCATCATCTACCTCAAGAGGTCTTTTTTTCTGTTCCTTAAAATTACCGCTTCACTTTAACAACTAATTTTTAAGACATCACTTCATCACCACTTCAATTACCCAACTTCAGTTTTTGAACTTGACCAGAACAACGGGTTTACTGCTGAAAATGGTCTGATTTGACAAATTCACCCCGAGTGACTTATTTGTAAGAAAATTATGATTCCCCATCGTCTGCCTGCCAACAGTTCTAGAAGTATTATGGACTAAACAACCCCTTTCTTTTAAACGTTATTCAAACCAAAACCTTTGGTTTACAAAATATCTTTATCGGTCTCCACCGACTATCAGTAAACTTTTTTTTTCAAACCAGAACTGTTGAATAACAATTTTAATTTTAACATAAAAAATAAATTATAACATTCAGCCAACTTTTTTCAAGCTAATCCTAAGAACAGTTGTTTCAAGCTTTCTACCCAGTTTCGTTGTAAAAAAATTTCATCAAACCTGTCTGCTTAATACCTTCCAAAATCTTGTAAGTTCTTAAGTTTTCCGGCCCAAACAATTTATAATTTTAAAAACAAGCAGCCATTACTCAAAGAAAAAACATCTCAACCTGGTAAAAAAATTCATATTCTCACTGGTCCAGCACTGTCAAAACTCTAAAAACTACTAAACGACACAGGAGTTTAAAATAACTGAAAAAGACAGTACACCCACACTACTGCTAAACCACTTGAGCTGCCCTAAACTAATCCATTAACAGTGCACTCCAGAATGCCGTTTTTAAGCTCCAGGAGCAGACGGGTAACAGTCCTGATGTGTTTGCATAAAACGAATCTATTTGCAAACTCAGATCACCAAAGCTAGCACAGTGTTTAACTGTATATGAAGTGAAAAAACCCACCGAGATACTTCAAACGACTGTATAAACGTTCCCGTAAATGTCTTTGGCCCGAGCTACTTAGCAACTAAAAAGACAGAAAAAGTGTAACAAACAAGAACCAGTTTCATAAACCTGATAATTCTTGGAACTTAACGTCATGCATACAACAGTCTGCTCCCTGCGATGTTCATAATATTAAAAAAAATGAGAAACCAAAAACGAACTCTCCACCTACAGAATCCACACTGACAAACGCAAACAAATTCGGCTTATGTTGTACATAGCACTGAAAAGAAAACTGACTAAAGTTTTCCTAATCATTGTTCGACAGAAACCCGACAATAATGACAACAGTAGGAAAAAAGTGATCAATTAGTAACTCTTCCAGTCTGCCTAAACTTAATCCCTCTAAATCAAAATTTTCTTAGAAAATATCAGTAGCTGGTGTAAATGATCCGCAAGCTGAACTTATGTAAAACAATAGAAATCTTTGAAAGTGATTGTTTATCCTACACGCTTATCAAAGGTTTTGCATTAAAAAAAGTAGACACCCTAGAAACTCCGCAAATGGTGATTTTCTCCTATCCGCTCTTTGAGAAGAACCGTTAAAAGCAGTTAAAGTATGCATCTGAAATATATCTGCAAAAGAAAGCAAAAGAAACAAAATGATACTGATATGAAAAGCTACCTAGAGACTGGTAAAACGCAATCTCAAATATCAGATTGAAAGCATAGTACTTGCCACCTATAGAACACATCAAATTCTGTAAAGAATTACCAATTTACCAAATAATAATGCTAAAAAGTACTGAAGTTTGATGTCAAATTTTATTAAAGATTTTCTTCTGAAATCACATAAAATCTAAAAAGTATTTCCAAATCAGCAAAATAAAATCTGACGAGAAACCACCGTAAAAGTTTCTTAGAAAACAAATAACACTTGAACACAGACAAATGATTCAGTTATACGTATGGCACAAAAGGGATTTTGCTCTTATAAAAAACAAGCATCCCTACAGTTACTACGAAATGCAAAGCCTTTTGAGATGTCGAAATTAAACTCAGTGGACAACGACATTTCTCTAGCTCAAACAATAAATGTACATATCGGAAACATCAAAGCTCTTATAGACGAATCTTAAAAACATCTAAATATCATTTAACAAATGCATCAAAATCTCTTTCTAATCAGAAATTAAAATAATAATAAAGAGCTGCAAGTTTACAGTAAAACAACAAACTAGACACAGGCCGTAATGGATATCAACTGAAAAGGACATAACCAGCCTTTTCCTTCCACATAGCGAAGTATCCTGTCTAAAGCTGAGTTCAGTGAAGTTCTGCACCTCACGAAAAAGTGTGAGAATCCACTATAATTATTGCCAGTTCATGGACGTCTTTTTTCAAAAAACTTAGAAACTTAAAAGGTCCGAATATAATGTAAAAAAGAAAGAAGTAATCCACAGTTTTTTAAACCAGATATGCTACGGTTTAAAAACTAAGTGCAACAAAAATTTAAGGCATTTAGGCAGCAAAATACAGAGTTTTCTCCAAAAATTATAAGTTTTAAGCTCCACAAAATTGATAATGACAAACTTCCGAGCAAACAGTTCATCCTGTACAGATAATAGAGAAAAAGCTATATTCTTTTTCAGACAACGTACTGAGAAGAAGCTGAATTAAACATAACCTTTGCTAAAGACAAAGGACTTATAGATATCTGGGTAAAAGGGTAATCTGCAGCACTACTTAAAACTTTCGTTTGATTCTGCTGACTCGGTATCTTGCTTCAACTGCTGAGCGGCCCAAACTATCATACGAAACAACGCTTCAATACGAGGAACCGCAGGCTTATGTAAAGCTTTAAGAACAGCACTGTTTACTTCTGTTGCGACCTGCAAAAAAAGAAGAGCAAGGATTAAACGAAAAAGGCAAAATATTCAGTAATTTATGGAAATGTAGCCTAGAAATGAATATATTCCAGCTAAAGATCATGAAATATGCACCATTTGCCTATGGCTAACTTCGACCAGTGAAGAAAAGGGCGATTCCTCTGGTTTCTCAAATGCCAACAACGAAAACGTTTTTTCAAGTTTCTCTTGGGCTTCAGGATGTTTTTCGCATTTATCAACCAGAAAATCTTCAGCGAATTTGAGTGACTCTTCCAACTGCAACTTCACTACAAGTTCAGTAACGAAGCAGGCCTCGGGGGCAAAGAAGAACAAAAAACTACCTTTCTCTGTTTTATAAGCTCTATCAAATGTTGCTGAAGTAACTGTAAATGGAGCAAGGAATTGTCGTCAAGCAAGTCCGGCACCAATGCATTTATCTTCTTGATCGCCTCGTCAATCTGAGAAAAATTATAATCTGCAGTTTCCAAAAAAATTTACAACAGCAAAAACTTAAGCAAAAAGTGCGTGAGGGAAACAAAAATATTTAAAAAAACAGGTCAAATAACAAATGCCGCAAAGAAGCTTTTAAGCAAAAAAACAGTTTGGTTTATGGGTTTAGGAGCTGTGGAATACTTCTTCGTTAGTTACCGGTAGTACAGTTGCTTGAAACAACAATTTTCTTCAGTTTTCTATTCCTCAGAATAAACATTTTGAGCTGCTTATAAAGTATTATAAAGAACAACAAATTTCATCGTACTGCTTTTTCCTATCACCCGAAATTCTACACGCTTAACTAAAGTAAATGAATGACCGCACTCTTACTTTTGGTTCTAAACCACTGTACTGTAAATTTAAGCTTCAGCAATACGCAGCAAGCGATAAATCGATTACACAAAAACGTTGGGTTTATACTCAACTTGAGGCCAAGAAAAGTACCTCGCATAGTATAAAAAAAAGTCACAAAGCATTACGGAACTACTTTCTGATAAGATCGTAAGCCAAAAGTGAAACAAAAAACTCTAGACACTCACTTTCCCCTCCACAATTGCATCACGAATAGCCATTCGAGCATCTAAGTTTTCCGCAGCATCTTTCGGAAATGAGATCCCAGCATCAGCGCACAATAATTCAGCTGCTTCTCTATAACCCTCAGAAATCAGGTAATCAACCACTAGGTTCTTCATTTCAAAAGCCCTAAAAACAAGGTAAAACGATAAAGCAACCTGTGTTTAATTAAGAAAAAAAAACGTACTCCAGTATTTACTATCAGAACTGAAAGCAACTTTGTTTTCTAAAACAAAATTTAATGAATGTCTGTTATAAAAGTGAAGAAATTATAACATACGGCAACTCATGCACCGCAAATTCCTGGTATCTTTGAAACCATCCGCACTCTTCCTCGCCTTCTTCTTCCGGTTGATTATCAGTCTGCGAAACGACAGGCGTTTCATTAGATCCTATCTCACAGATACCAGACACTGAAGCCCCAGGAGACACGTCCATCAAAATCTTTAATACTAACTGTTGAGCTTGCGAACTATGAAATACGAGATTAATAAGCAGTACATAAACTCTAGTTTTAAACCCTAAAAACCACACAAATTAATACTACACTAATGCGACTTCTTTCTTCTAACCTATCCAAACCAGGCAAGTGCCTACTTTCCAATAAGGATGGGTAACTGAACCTATAAAACAGAAGAACCTTACAGTCAACATTCAGATCAAACGAATAACAGTTGATTACCGAACTTGAAGTTTCAACTGCTTTTGATCAAGATTTGTCGAGCAGAAATAAAAATGGAATATTATGCTAACTTCGAATACCTAATCAGTTAACTAAAGTAATGCTTAAAGTTAAGCACAAGTGTAGTAAAAACGATGAAAGAATACAGCACAGACACTGAACGTCTAGTATTTGCCAACAAATAGTAAATATACTCGCCCTCATTAAGCAAAAAAACCCAACGAAACACAGCCATCTGCAATTAAATTCATTATTAGTAAAGATGATTATAAAAGATATAAGAGCAGAACTTATCATCTTCAAAGATTTGTGAAATCAACAAAGCGAAATTTGCCAGTGATTCGAAGTCGTAGTAAAACAGACAACTCAATTCATTAAAAAAAGTGGAACGCCGTGTCCACGAAGGCCACAAAACAATCCGCTGTAACAGTCACAGCTGTAGCGACAACTGGAATTTTGCCAACTCGATTTACCTTATTGCCTGTTTTTGTGTGGCATCAGTGATTCAGAAACATTTGTGGAACAGTTTCATCCGTATGGACGTCTATAAACGGAGTGATACAGCAAAAGCGTAAGTATAATTTTTCGGGTATGTTATCGTTAACAATTACAATTAAAGGAGAACAAAAATTGAACGGATACAGATATTTTTTTATTTTTTATAACGTTTTTATTATTAGTGTAGTGTAGAATTGTCTCAGTCTCTCATCGTTTGACTAAATAAACACTTTGAAACACTTTGGAGACATGTGAAGAACTAGTTTTTTTTTTTTTGTTTCCGGCGGTTCATGACTGACTGAAGGTCTACTGAGGACTAAATTTACAGTTGGTAAGTGTGCAAACAATAAACCATTGATGAAACTTAGAACAAGTAAAAAAACAAAATTTTTTTTCATTTTGCTGGAAACGTGTACTTCCTTCGTATTTCTATGAAAATTATGTGGTAAATTAGTAGTTTTGAAGGTGGGGATTATTATTTGTTAAGAAGACATTATCACTGTCAAATTATTATGACTGAATGTACTGGCTCAAAACCAGCTGAGGATTACAATCAAGTGTATTTTACGTATTAAAAGAAAAAATTCTTTTTTGATATCTGACGAGCTTCAGTTTTTTTTTTTCCAAGCAAAATGTAGTCTATACCTTTTCCACTCCTATTAATTGTTAACACTAAGGAATGTGTATAAAACGGCGAAAAGGGAGAAACATTTTTGAAAATACTTTATTAATAAACAGTAAAACAAGTATTTAAACATTTTGCTTCGAAACAGGGCGCCTTAACAAATGCTTTTTTGCTGGTACAGCAATACATTCAAGAAACAGTTCGAGAACCTCGCCAAAAGTAAGACAGGAAACACCGACATAAAGACCAAGAGTACCACCAATATCTGCTAATAAGCCCCAAACATCCATTGCTGGTGATTCTGTTATTGATTCATAGTTTAGCTCCTGAAACTATTTAAATTACATTGCTTACAGTTATGCTCATGACTTCCAGTTGAACTTCGATAAATCGGTAAACTTTACTTACTTTAAAGTAGACCTCCAATTTTAAAAGGTTTGTTTTAGCCTTTTCGAATGATAAATTCGTAATTTCGCTATAAGATGAATTTTCCCAAGTTTCATGTGACGTCTTGTAGAAGCTTTCACGTGGCCATAGTGCAAATGCCTTTTCCGTAACATACTCCTGTTCGTGACAGGGTTGTGGACATAGCCTATCACATATTCCGCTTCTAGCAGTTTTTGCCATTGACTAAAGATTCAATTTTTTTATTTTATTTTTTTTTTTTTTTTGGCAAAATGCTGGAAAAAAGTTTTAATTTTTTTTT